CGGCCAGCTTTGGGGACATAAAATATAAGTTACACCTGCGCTTAGTATAAGCACCTATTTGTATCTGAAACGATGCCTTTTCAAAGCCAGCGCCCTCGCTGTGTGGGTATTGTATTTTATACGAGCTTAGTATTTGAAAATGCAAAGAATATTAAGTAATAAATTTTAGAAAACTTCGTGCAATAACGTTCTAAAGAAAATGAGAAATAATATTTTAAGTACCTTGCTAAGTACAGGCTTCGTCTCATTTTACCACTTTTTTAATAAGTCACTTTCTTGTTTGTCTGTAGTTCCGGGTGGACTTTAGTGATTGATTTTAAACTAACTTCCCGATGAGGTGGAAACTTGAAATTTTTAATATAGCTCAAATTCACATGACAATGCAAGATTATGATTAAAAGAAAAGTGGTAATTTTTGGAACGAAGTTCCTTATCGGACTGTGCGAATTTAGCGGATGGGGGCTAGGCGAGAAAAAGTGTACGATTTTTCCGTCAAGACCCTTTTTGACGAAGTGTAGACGGCCTTGCGGCGATAAGGAAGCGAGATGGAATAATATCCATCTCTCTCGCACTTTTTCTTATCTTGTTATGAAATAAATATTATTTTATTTTAAATGACGCATCATTTTAATAGAAGCTAGTAATTCATTTATTTGTATTTGTACATCAAATGTGGTATAGAAATGCTGCAGCTATATTAGTAGTATAGTAGCACGAATGGGTCGGCTCGACCAGGGAAGGACCACGCACTCACAGAATACCAGCGTAAAATAGCAGCTTAACACTGCTGTGTTTCGTATGGTGAGTGTACCGGAGACCCTTTTTACTGGAAAAGAGGCATTCTAGCTTAGTCCTCACGGGTGACAACGCTTCTTGATTCGCAAACGAGGATAGATGTAGATATCTATGGGCCACAGCAACCATTTACCATCAGGTGGACTGTGTGCTCGTTTGTCACTCTATCCTATAAAAAAAATCAATAATAAACATTTATCAATAATAATATATCTACTATGAAAGGAACTTCGTTCCAAATGAGTATTCCACGACACTCACGTATGTTTTTTACATATTTTTTAAATTTCAGTTGTTTTTAAGAGTTATGGAGCAATAAGTCTGCTGTGTCACTCCAGCGCGTATTGACATACTTTACTTAACTTCGAAATATTTATACGCAAGCAATCCACGTTTGATTCCCACAGAGACACCACAGAAAATTTTAATTTAAAGTGATGCGTGCTTGACGATGAAGGAATATCATCTTAAAAAACAACCTGTATCGTTCCGTGGGTTCCATAAGAGTAAGGGAAATGTAAAAGGAGATGAGCAGCAACATCTTTATGAACAAAAAACTGCGGTCGCCAACTCAATTGCCAGCGTGGCAAATGCGGCAAATATCCCAATGAGGCTGTCTGATAGGCTGTAATGAATGATTTCTTTTTATATACAGATTATTGGTCAAATGAGCATGTGGCCCACCTTATGGAAAGTGTCGACAGAACGAACACGAACAACTGCAACACCAGGGGAATGGAGGTACATTGCGGGCTTTTTAAAAAGGAGTGGGCCCGTTTCTTGAAGGTCCCTAAGATGTATCGGTTCCAAAAATCGCCGGCGGTAAACGATTCCACAAAGTAGACGTGCGAGGAAGAAAAGTAAATCGCACAGTAGTAGACCGTCAAGCATTCAGGTGATATGGAAGGTAACGTAAGCTTATGTTTTTATCTGTGACGAGCAGTCATGAATATGATTTATTTAGTAAAAGTGTTATGAATTAAAAATTTATGTGTGTATGTTCGCATAGTTTTATCTGCCATTTCGGCAACATAGGTAGGGGAGACCGGAGCCACAATTTACAAAAAATGCATCATGTTATTAACATAAATCAAACAAAACAAATGATGTCTTGAATAGAATATTATTTCTCAAAAAAGTCAGTTGTTCTAACTATTCTATTCTAACCCCATGATCGGGGCTAGAATTAACAGCTCTAAGGTAAGTATTAACATTATTAACTATTAAAGAAGAAAACAAATATATGTATGGAATTATTTTTAATTAATGAAAGTGCTAATAATACGGACGTGTTTCCAGCATCCTTTTTATATAAATTGAAATTACAAATCACAAAATATCTAAGCCCGAAAAAATTAAGCTCGTTTGATATTTCGTTAAACTATTTTAGATATCAATATTTTTTGATCACTTTTTCTAAACATTCATCAGTTTTGCACCAGTCATCAGTTATAGTTTCTATACCAAAAATTAAACACTTGGGCAAAGAACTTATAAATCATCGTGAGATGAGGTAGAAAATGGTATTTTCCTGAAACTTACACAACATGCATAATATGTAGTTTTTTATAAAATCGACAAATATTTAAAAAATATCAACGATTAGGAACTATATTCAACAAACGGATATGATGATGAGATGTCACTTATGATACGCCCAGTTTAGCCCCAGTCATTGTAAGAGATAAATTAAATCCAGTAACCATTTGATAAGAAGAAGAGAATAAGAGAAAAAGAGATACATTAAATTCGAAAATCCACCTGATAAATCTTACGCCACAAACAAAATAAAAATATTCATTTTCTAAAGAGTCTCTGCTTCCTTTTGACATCTTCTTATTTACTTTTTCTATTATAACGTCTTTGTTTATTTTTCTATCTCCTTTTGCCTTGCTTTTACCTTTCCTTTTACCCTTTGCTTTATCTTTTTTGTTCCCTTTGTACTGTTTTTGCTAGGTTTTTTTTCAGTTCTTTAATATGATGCTCTTTTTTCTAAAGCTTTGTTTTCTGGAGTATCGGTGAGAATGGCAGTGTTTTTAGCTCACTTATGATAAAATTGAGCTTGTGGTAGAACTTTTGGCAGAGGTCTTACAGTTTCCAAGAAATCACTAGCATCTTTTTAGGTAAACTCTAGGTTTTTTGTAGCCCGTTTCCGCTGGTGGACTTACTTTCTTTTTTTTTCAAAATTAAAAACTGAAACGTTGCAGAGCTCAAATTATTTTGCTACATTTCTGTAATTTCCGTTTTTCTCCATCACTTCTAACACAAGCAACTCGTAGACCCTTATATTAGGTGCCTCGAGTAGTTTTTCGTTGATACGTTCTCATACAGAAAAACAATTGTTTATACTAGCCCTCACATTCGGGGTTGGCATTAATACATTAATACTAGCTTTGTGAATTATAGCCCCAAAGGCACATTTTTAGTTTTGAGGAACATAACAAAATATTGGTTTACAAGTTAATGAAACAATGAAGCATTATTAAGTATAAAATATGCATCTGAGGAAAGAAAAAAACAAAGTCATAACAACGTCCATTTTGAGCATAAATCAAGAAATTGTAAAGTTAAAAATTTTCGTTACTTGCGTAAAAAAGTAGTCTGCTACCTACTCTACTCACTCACACGATGCGCGGAGTACAATTGACCAATCCCGAGTCATGCGGCGTGATCTATTCGGCGTTTTAAAACACGCGATGTAGCTTTAGTATGTATAGTTTTAGAGAAATTTGCTTGTTAATACTTACCTCTGTTAATTGTAGCCCTGTCTTCCTACACAAATAATTTTATGCAATCCATGGAACAGAGCTTTTGGAATGCTTTGTAATTTTGATTTCCTCCCTCCTCAGACAAAAACACTCCCTTTTATAGAATTATAAGGGGACAAAAGAACACACTATCCACGTGATGATAATTGGATGATGTGACCCAAATACATCTATATCATCAGATTAGGAATCAAAATGCAAATGCGTAGAATTTGGCAAAAGCATATGTACGTATGAATTCGAAATGCTCGGAAATACAATGTTTGTATGAGAAAAGAATTCGCCATGAATTCGCCTAAGCTAAGATGAAATGTCTTGTTATCGAGAAGAAATGGTCTCCGGTTCCCTCACCATACTAAATTCAGCAGCATTAGACTGTTGTTTTACGCTAGTATTCTGTTAGAGCGTGGACCGAGTTACTCCGTGCTACGAATACAACCATAATATAGCTGCAGCATTGTTCTACCACATATATCATACTAAAAAAAAAACGTACGACAGTGTTCGATGTTCACATATTGCTATATAGATATCGTAGATATAATATGAATTCAGAATATGTATGGAAGTAACACGGCAACTTCTCCGTTCGAAACGTCTCCTCAAAAATGAAAGGAACGATAATAGGTTGTTCTTGTACTGTTCTTTTAATTGATCCATTACTTACTAAGAATACGTATTAATTCACTACAGAACATGGGCCCGAACTGACATAGGCTGTACACTGACACTACACTAGATACACTGAACACAGGCCTCCCATAGCTTGTTCCACTAATAGGGGGGATTATGCCATAGTTGCTACGCTTGGCTGGCTGACAACCGCAGTTTGTTATAATTTTGAATTATTAAGATGCTACCCAAGATTTCCTGTCCCATTTCCCTCAGTCGCCTCTTCCGATACCCAAGGGATTATATTGGATGGTAGATTACGCCGCTGCTACACGGCGTTGTTTGATAGACCAGTAAATTCGCACATAAATAAATTATGTAACCATCAACGTTTATTAATGTTAATGTCTTTAATTTACGATGTATAATATTACAGTTACACGCGCCATGCTACATTTCATGGAAAAAATTATGAACTTTTCGTTTATATGTTATTGTGAAACGACAGTAGAGGCGAATTCAAAGATCGTGGGTTCGAATCTGCCGTCCAACTAATGTCGTGACCCACTCCTAACGCAAGCGTTTTAAGCTTGCGTTAGGAGTGGGTTAGGAGTGGTTTTAAGTGGTTGAAGGGAATATTAGTAATTTTAATAGTATTGCTACCATTTAAAAAAATAAAAACATATGTATATAAATATACTACCAAAACACGGTAAGACATGCAGGAAGTCGTGGGATGCAGGTTGCACAGCTGTGGTGGCACTGTTTAAAAGTGGACTTGTAAAGAGCTGTAGTAATAAATGAAATATGTTTTGATATACTTACCAATTTTGTTCTTGTCTATAGACCCCAACATCGTCTCATCTGCCCGTGTAGTCCTTCCGAACCCCAGTGCAGTGCTAGAGGCATCCTGACCTAGTTGGCCACCGTAAAAGTCACCGAACGCTGTAGCTGTTCCCAGCAGTCCAGATCTATCTTGGAGGGCAGCTTTTGCCTTCTCTACGCTCTGCTTTAATTGCTCGAATGTTGACTGGTGGAGACGGTACGGCGGCCATTCCGTAGCAGGCCATGGTTCCTCTTTAAGGGCGCTTCGCTTCAATTCTAGAGCCCCAGCATAAGAACAACTGCTTTCGTACATCGCAGCCTTAACTCCTGCACGGAGCGCGGTGGCACACTTCAGACCGCGGAAGTCGACCCTGTGGAAAAAAATAAATGTTAACCTATGCAAACATTAATAATAATTCATAGTTTTGTAGAAATAAGCTATTTTATGCACCAAGTACTCGGCGGTGTAGGAAGACATCACGAGGAAATGAAAAAAGAACAAAAATATTATCCTCAGACATGCAGGTTTGTAAAACCCTCTTAGAAATGATGGGAGGCATGCGCTCAGTGGGACTTGTATAGGCCGTAACACCTTACATAGTTTGAAGAGTCCTTCAATAAAACGGTCAAGAGGGTCATATTCTTTTTACATTCTTAATTAATAATTTTGTAATGTTTAATATCGTATTGCAGACTAGCTGGCCAGACAGACGTTGTTCTGCCCTCTCCGACGACCATGTGTCCTATAAAAATTCTTAATAAAAATATTTAGGGTCACTTATAGGGATAAAAACTATCCTGTCTCTCAAGTTGAACCAAACTGCACACAGTGTGCCAAAATTTTATTGCAATCAGTTTAGTAGTTTAGGAGTTCATCGTGGACAAACAATGTGACACTTAATTTTTATATTTATAAAGATAAGCGACCCGCCCTGGAGATAACCATCGATGACCATTTATAATATCAATATTTGGAATTCTTAAAAAAAATCTCCAAGTTTTTCGGATAAAATAGGATTCAGATCATGCAGACTGAACTATATCTGCTTGTCAACTTTCGTTACAATCAGCTCAGATATTCCGAAGATTAGCTAGACACATAAATATTATATAAATATTATATGGTCAGACAGACACATAAATATTAAAAATAACTGGGTCCAGATGCCTCCAGCACTGCACTGGGATTTGGAAGGAACCCCAACATCTGTCCGTGTAGGACAGATGAAACGATGTTGGGGTCTATTGACAAGAACAAAAATGTTATCTCAATAGCATGCAGATAATCTCCTTAGCTCAATAAGAAGTAGGTATTTCAATGTTACAGAGAGGCACTTCAATTTTATCTAGATGTATAGAAAAACGTCTAATTTACGAACAAACGCTTATAGCTAGTCTTGCCTATAGTTTGGATAATTATGGTTATATATACAACACTAGATATATTTAATTGTGCCAACGGTAAACTGTGTCGGACGGACGTGCTATACGTACAAGGTTAATAAATTTAAGCGGTAGTGCATAGTGATGGTTCCTGCATCAAATCGTTCATATAAGGAGAGTGGATACGTAGTAGAGCCACGCTGCAACTATAATGTTGTTGTAGCATGTATGGATCGGCTCAACTGGGGTAGGACCACCCTCTCTCAGAATACCAACGTAAAATAGCAACTTAATGCTGTTGTGTTTCATATGGTGAGTGTAGAGAAACAGAGATCCTTTTTACTGGAAACGAGTTAACACTTACATACAAACAATTAATTTCGTCAAAGCTAGGAGTACTTAACGCCAACTTAACACCAAATCCCACAAATTAATATTACATCTTTAGCCTTATGTTTAGCACGATTCACAATATATGGCAGTGTAGGAAATTATATTAGTTAATGTATAATTTATAAATCAATAGTTGACCAGGCAGACGTTGTTCTGCCTGGTCAACTAGTGATAACCTTGCTAAAAAAAACTCCTGAAATTAGCAATAAATAAAATTGAGGGTCAGTTATTGGGATAAAAAGTATCCTATCTCTCAAGTTGGACCAAACTGCACACAGTGTGCAAAATTTCATTGAAATCAGTTCAGTAGTTTACACTGAACACGTAATTTTTATGTATAAAGAAGATTATAATTAGTTAGCAACTTAGTTATCATTCTTTTAAATTTTACACATTAAAATGTCACATTCTGTAAAGTAAATTAATATAATATAATAATATAATTAAATAAATTATTTATTAATAAGGACGACGCCTAATACAACGCGAATGCGCGATCATCGCAAGTTTGCGCGAATTTTACTCGTACGAACACGCGATCAAACATATTGCTGTCGAATAGGTGTCCTGATTGACATTAGCGCAACAATCGCGTCGTGTCGTCGGACAGCACAGCAGGACCCGATCTATATTGATTGTGAAATTTAACACGTATCGATCTCATTTCCAACAAAACACATTGCGATCCGTTTCATTTCTTTCATTGCTGTCAAGACTAGCAGAATACGTCATATATATATATATAAACTTGGCGTTTAGGACGTCCATGCTTAGCGCCAATGCCATGCGTAAACTGTGAAGCGGAACCCGCGGCCGCTCGCATCGTCAATTCACGCGATGATCGCGTATTCGCGTTCCATTAGGACACCCAGTTTTTGATATCGCGCGAGCACGCGACGGTCGTATCTCTTACTCGCGCGATGATCGCGTAATCGCGTTGTGTTAGAACTACACCTTACAGTTCACGGTACAATAGAATGTAAACTATTGTTAATGTAATTGAAACAAACCATGCAGCATCATGGCGATAATAAGCGAACGTCTAGATTTCAAACTTAGTAGTTAATGCTGTTTTACTAATTATTTGTATGGAACTCTGGAATGGTTAACAGTTTTAATGGATATTGAGTAAAAGATTCTTATGGATCATTTGCAATTTATTACTATTTTTTTTTTGCAGAATGTACTTCAGGTTGATTCAGCGTATGAAGTGTTATGAAAGAATGATTGTTTTATATAGAATTTAGAAAGTAGATGATCGTTTAAAGTCTTAGATAACCTGAACATAAAACCATAATGTCAAAAAGCTTTATTGATTTATGTTTAAAGCTTTATTGATATATAAAATCAATATACCTTTGGTAACATTTATCAGATTCGGACTTAAACCATTCATAATGAACTAAGAACTTTTCAAAAGCTTACCAAATTTATTCCTTCTTATCCAGGTGCGTTTCTTATCTTTAAAAATAACAAAAGCGAAAGAGAACCAGACCGGGAAACGACAATTTTCAGCCGTTTCAGAGGCACATGTAAATTGATAATACTGTATATGTTTTGATTCTTAATCGAGAATAAATGTAGGTACATACGCGTGGCCCACAGATGTCTATGGGCCACAGCATCTACTTGCCATCAGATGGTGAAACAATTGTATTGGTTGGAAATGATTTTATATGCATATATGGGCATAAGCAGTATGGCATTACAATAATTATGACCGGTTTTGGGCATGTTTTGAGCGTCCCTTGAAATGTACGAAGCGTTCCGTTTATCTTTCTTTGTTGGTCTGAGACTGTGTACTCTCTAAATCTTACGTATTCAAGTTGTATTTTTTTACATATTATAAGCCAGTTCTTCGGTTGAATCTCTCCTACCATCAGGTTCCCACCTGATTTTGATTCAGCCGAAGATGGTTAAGTACTGACATAGCTTAACAAAAGTCTATTAACTTCTGTATGTACACCCACATTATAATCGCATGAAAAAACGGACGCTAGGAAATTATTATACTCCTTTGCTGTACCGACGCATTATGAACGACGACGTAAGCCATTTGGCTCGAATGCGTGGTATGTCAACAACAAAAGCGTAGAAATCTGCCGAGCGTCCGGTGGTTCAATAATGAAATGAAGACGGAGGAATTAAGTCATGCAATTCTATATGGAAGCGTAAGAGAAACGATTTCTTATCCGTGGGTGTCTTATGGGATACGCGAGAAAGATTACTGCCGATAGGTGGCGGTAAAATCGAAAATGCCAAGCGTAAAATAGCCGAATATGCGACGAAAACAAGTGTGAGAAGCACGTAATATCTGGTATTGTGCTCGCATATTCTAAGTAATTTAAGTCGGTAAATTTAAACCGTTCACAATTTATATTTTAATTACGAAGAGTCCCATATCCACCAGTGCACTGTATCAACCTGATAACGAGGACGAAATGTAAGTTAATTGTAAAAGCCTATTTAAAAAGAAAACTTACAGCCTATATACAAGAGAGGCTTCTTATTTCTACGAGAGCTATGAAGCACTGACGATGCCGTGCATGTGTACATGCAGTGCTGGGCACGTGGTAAATAAGCACTTAACAGAAATGAAACTTCTCAATTTCATTGGTGCCGCCGGGGATCGAACCCAGGTTGTGTGTGATGCGAAATGGACGGCGAGTATTTGGTCATTACCACGGTACTAAATTTATTTGTGTTTGAGTAAATATATGCACTTATAATAGTATTTTGGAAGCTCAGAAAGCACTCATGACAGGGCACGTCATGACTTTGTACGAATCAATGAAGATCTAGAAGCAGAGTGCAGCAATTTGTAGCTTCCTTCCCGGAAAAGCGGGCAGCGATGCTAATTAACCAGGCACTATACAATGACAAGATTGTTTGGTTCCGTTGAGATGGAACGGAATAGAACAGAATCATTTTTATTCATCATATGTAGATATATACGTGATACTTTAAGGGCTATGCGCTCAAAATTATTGGTATTTTATCCTCGTGCGTTGGGAAACATGTAAAGCCGTTGGTCCTTATCTCTGTGCAACCGTGTCGTATTGCCGTCCTATCAAACTACGAGAGTAAGTCAACGGAGAGTGAACCTGTGCTTGTGCACAAACTCTTGCACTTTAATCATGTCATGCGCAGATGGCTTGTCTCCTTTGAGAATGAAATTCGGTCTGGAGGACATTATTATGATTGTGTGAGTCAAGACGATGGCTTGTATCTTGTCCATACGTGCAGAGGACTATAACATCTCCTGCCCGGTTGAAGACTTTCAAATTTTCCATAAACGACACGGAAAAAATTACCACAATAATATAGAGAAAATTCCAGTGTAAAATATCAGCGTAGTACTGCTTTGTTTCGAATGGTGAGTATAAAGATCTCGAGACCCTTTTTTACTGAAAAAGGCATTCCATCTTAGTCCTCAGGGGTAACAACGATCTGCATTTTGATCCTTAATCGAGGGTAAATGTCTTTGGGCCATATCCACTTACCAATAAGACGACTGTGTGATGTCACTCCCATTCTCTAAAAAGTATAGGACTAAAGATAGTACACATATTAAAAAAAATAATAAGTGGTAGAGCCAAGCTGCAGCTATGTTATGGTTGTAGCACAAATGGGTCGGCTTGACCGGGGTAAGACCACGCTCACACAGAATACCGGCGTAAAACAGAAACAGAAACAGAAACTTTTTTATTCAATATAGATAGATTATAAATAATAGTTATTGAAAGTCACTCTTTTGTTTCATTACCACTAGTTCGAAAAAAACCTCTGTCCTGGAAGGAACCAGCAAGAAAACCCAGCGGGATTTTTTTAATAACAGGTTACAATCATGTATGTTACACAATTTACCACACAAAACAAATTAGAAATAGCTTGGTAGCGATCATCTCATTCCCAGGGGTTATTATCATCCATAAATGCAAATAGCAGCTTAATTTTGCTGTGTACACATGGTGAGTGTAGAGAACCGGAGACCTTTTTTCTGGAAACGAGGCATTCCGTCTTAGTCACTTCCGACTACTCAGGGGTGACAACGCCTTTTGATTTTTAATCGAGGATAAATATAGATGTCTATGGACCATAGCATCCACTTGCCACCAGGTGGGTTGTGTGCTCGTTTGTCGTACTTATATAAAAGATAAAACACATAGAAATAACCGAGTGCATTGCGGAGCTCGCTTAGAGATCTCGCAGAGGCGCGTATCTCTCTCGATTCGGACGTTTGTATGGAGTTAACTATGAGATCAACAGCGTTATCCAGAAGTAAGGTATCAATTTTTAGATGATAAAAATTTTGTGTATTTCAATTTCCCAATATACTGAAAGTAACACGTAACCAGCAGTTGTGTCTTTAGTAGTGAAACTAACAGAAATACTTTCTTTTAATAACAGATTAAATGCGTTAGTACAATAGGTATTTGTATGAGATTTGTCTAGCTACTTTATATTTGGTAGTGATATTTTCGAAATACATGAAGTATTCTTTTTTTTTGTTTTAACGAAAATTATGTAAGGATGTGACCGTAATTTTTAAAGAAAAATATTACGGTCACATCTCTACAATTTTAAATGTTCGTGTATATTATAACTGGTTATTTAAAAAAAAATTCAAAACACTTAAATAAATATTGCCAGTATTCGAATTCGATGAATGCAGATGGCTCAGGGCCGTATTTTGTGACATTTCTCGGGGAAGAGCGGATTTGAAGGGCTTTAATGATGCTGGTTGTAACCCTCACCTCATATCGGATATTCTTTTCCTTTTTTGACGCTTATCTGCTTTCTTGGGTTTTTCCGTGGTGGTTTCTTTCAAGTGGTATCACATACCCGTGATACCACTTCCCCACTACTAAATTACACCTTTGCCTGTATTTACAGTTACTTGAACTGAATTAATCGAATTTTAAAAGACGAACCATTTTTGCATCGTTATCACTTTAAATTTTCTACATTTTAAAAACCACTCATAATTTGATTGCTTGATCCGTTATATCACAAAACTCAAATAAGAAATAGGAAACTGCTCGGACACCTTAATCACTTATAAACTTGATGTCTAGCGGGGTGCCTTGTGAAATTAGGTTAAGAGGAACTGCAGTGGAACTTGAATGGACCGAAGATGCTGTAATGGCTAGAATACCCGTCACGCAGATGGCGGACGGTGGCCTTCCGAGCACTGTGAGCAACGCGCCCGCGCATTGCTCTATAACGCTCAAATTGATTGCATCCGGCACAAGGGAAATGTACCGCATAATAAATTTATATTTGCTGCATAATTTGATCAGCGACGCGATGTGCTTCTAATTTTTTTACTACCATGATGTAACATGACATAGACACTCGCCTTTTACTCCGGAGGAGTAGGCGGAGACCACGGACTTCCATTTGGCATATCTACGCGTACATGCTCGTTAGTTAAGGGTACTCATAACTAAATAATGTTAAAGTGGTGTAAGAATATCTACTAGCCCATAATATTGTTGCGTGGGCGCAAGAGGCGATATAGGGAAACAAATCAAAATGTTCAGCGGCGTCTTTTAATAACAACTAACTACAAAATAAGAGACTGCAGTTGTCAAGCGTAACATCTATGATAAATCCTCGCCCCATTCTCTATAAGGCAATCGTAGAGGACGCCTATGTTCAGTAGTGGACTTTTGATGACCTGATACGGGTAAATAAAGTTATCAGTTAACGTTATAAACAATATTCAAATACAGCTTATTCTTTCTTTTGGCCATATCTTTATAATTTATATATTTTTTAATCTATACCAATCAAGAAATTCCACTAATGATAATTGAAACATTTAATGTGATTTTCAAACACATTAAATGTTTTTAATATTTGAAATTGTTTTGAAGTGAATACTTCTTTAGAATCGTTGTGATTTAAAACTCGATAAAACGAAAAAGCGACACTAAAAAAAGAAAAAAATATACATCTATAGGATTGAACCTCCGAGAGAATTGTTAGCAATTATAGAGTTTTTCCTATTCTTAGCAATTATAAAGAACAATGAAACATATATTGAATGACCCTAATTTTAATTTAATTATCTGGTGAAACATACATCTACCTTTCATCATCATCATCATCATCATTACAGCCCTTCACAAGTCCACTGCTGAACATAGGCCTCCCCCAAAGAATGCCACAAAGCACGGTCCTGAGCCACCTGCATCCATCGACTTCCTGCATGTCTTACCAGGTCGTCACTCCATCTCGTACATCTACCTTTAATAAATGCAAATCGGATTTCCACTTTAGTATCTTTAAATTTCCGGTAAGATTTTTATTTTAATAGTTTTGGATTTGACTCCTTAAAGATAATATAAAAATGTCTGTCACGACCTAAGCTGTATTCATTCGGTTATAAAGTGTTAAGAGCATAAGAGACTTGAATGTTTGTGTAAAGTGTAGTGCAAGTACTAAGTAAAAAGACATTATGTATACGACAATTAGTTGTGAGTTATGAACAGATTAAAATAAAAGTGATATGATGTAATATAAATTGTATTATTTGCTAACACTATTAACTCAGTCTCCTTGTCTGAAGATTTCACTTCTATCGCGTGTGAACTACACACATGTTTTATTTTGTTGTTTGTTAATAACTGACTTTAACAGTAAGAAGTTACTGCAGTACAATAATGGAAACTTCTTAAATGCCTTGTGAAAAATACTGATATTTGTATTATAATATCTGGGCGACCGAGATTAGACCGGCATAAGAATTTTTTTAGGAATGGTTGAAACCTATCAAATAATTCTGGAGTGAAAAGCATTATCTAAATGCGAAATTTCATACAAATCTTTCGAGCCGTCTTCGAGATAATATTTATATTACATATATACATTACATACTCGTTTAAGAGATATCATACAAGAATTGCTCATTCAAAGTATCAGAATACGCTTTATATAACACGTGTAACATTTAGTAACATCAATTTACACTATTATCTAGGCTTTTATACAAAACATATATTTTAAACAAATTCTAAAAGGTTACAAATAAAACGAAAAGTACATGTATCCGACAGATTATTTTACACTCATTGAAACTATGTACAGTCAGAAGAAAAAAAAATAGTAAAGGAATATTGTTAAAAGGCATTTACTAAACCGCAAATATCAAACCAACTGTTCACATTTTATAAAACACTAGCTTTTACCCGCGACATTGCTTGCGTTTAATTATAAAATCGACGATTTCTACTGTAGCATGGGTTAAAAAGACTGTAAATATAAAAAAAAAATATAGTGTAAATATAAAAAAAACATTACAGAAAATAAATATACATTTTCAATTTATACATAAAATATATCATATCCTGGCTTATTGTCCATAATATCGGCAAGTTTCATCAAAATCCGTTCAGTAGTTTTTACGTGATTGAGCCACAGACATACAAACATCCAAGCAAACTTGCGCAATTTTTAAATAATATTAGTAGGAATAGTAGGATTCATCCATTACAAATATAATAGCACTAACTTACAGTGGCCAGTTTTTATTATTCATCTATTTTCAATTTAAAAGACAAACGAAATTAAAGTTCATCTCGTCTACATCTGGTCATCCTGACGGTAAGTGAATACTGTGGCCCATTGTAACATAACAAAGATGTTAATTGAGAAGAGAAGACGTGTTGCTCAGCTCAAGGTTTTAATTATACTGCTTAAACTTATTCTACCCTAACACTAATATATACTGTCATGGGATACACTACACCTCCCACCGACAAAAATAAAATAAAGTTAACAATTTTTTATCAAACCTTAAAAATATTCCAAACGTAATTAATGAATATTCTTAATAACAACTTAGTGGAAATTAAGTCTAAGTGTTATCCAAACTATAATCTAATGTATACCGAGATTTCGCAGGGCTTTTGTTCATACCCTCTAACAAGTAAAAATGGCGTATTCACAGAATTATATGACATAAACTTTTACGAACATTTACAATATTATTTATTAAAATTCATTTAAAAATGTCATCTAATCTGGATATTTATAATATATAGTACTTTTCCCTTATATATCTTTTCCTCCTTATAATTGTCATTTCATTCTTTAACATCATCTATTTTTTATTTTTTACATTTGGTTAACAATTATTTATTTTTTATTTTACTCGATATCATTTTAGCTATTCATTACAAATTTGTGTCATTTCTTTCACGTACACGGCTCGCGTACATAGATTAATGATAAGTCATCGCGCGCTCTAACCGCGGTGACTTATCATTAATCTATGGCTCGTGTACATACATGATCAAGACAATGACCAATATAATTTCTTTCACTTCTTTACATTTATAGCATTTCAGGTCATAAAGTTTATTATTTAATTGTTGTGCCCTACAGGCACATTTGTGTGCTGGATTGGTGGAGAATAAAACCGCTTCGATATTTTTCTTTCTTCTATATTTGGTGTTTTCCTTGAGGTAGCTGGCCGCCGACTGTGTCGAACGACGAAAATCGCCCCTCTTTTATACCGCCTCGGGCTGGGTCAATGGATACGGCCGACGCATCGTACAAATGGCGTCGACCAATCAGCGCGAGGCGTGACAGAGCAAGTGACGATGCTGAGTCCCGTTACATTGTTTGTCTTAAGCTAGTTCTATATCTTACTGAGTCATTGTTTATATTGTTTACCTTAAGCTAGTTCTGTTATACAAAGTGACCAACTAATTTTATTACACAAATATAAGCTCTACACTATTATTTTCTTAACATAAAATGCTTATATCCTATCTAAACTATAATCTCTATTAATATAAATGTTTATCCTATCTAAGTACAAACTAACTATATAATATTTATTCCATTAATATAAATGTTTTTGTCTTATTTATGTATCACTATTTGTTTTTCTCTTGTCCCGCACATCACTCCCGCCGTGCGACCGCGTCGCATCAGCTTCCGGTGCGGGCTCGACGTCCGTAGATAGAGGCAGGATCACAAGCTTCCTTACTGGCCGGCGTAGGACACCTCCCTTAGTTAGCACGTCCACAGTCCGCACGACGTTGTCGGGACCCGGATATGTAGCGATGACTCTTCCTCGTATCCACACGTTGCGAGGCAGGTTGGGATCGACGATCTGTACGAGGTCGTCGACGCGTGCTGCTTGGCCTTGTCCGTGGGGCTCCCGCCGGTGTTGAAGCTCAGGGAGGTACTCCTTCACCCAGCGTAACCAGAAGGTGTCGGCTAGCCTCTGCGCGGCTCGCCAACTTGACCGTGAGAGGGCGTCTCGTTCGGTGAAAGTGCCTAGCTGTGGTACTCGTCCCGGTCCTCCCAACAAGAAGTGGTTAGGAGTGAGAGCTTCGGGATCCTCTGGACTGACTGAGACGTGAGTCAGCGGTCGGCTGTTGACGGTGTATTCCACTTCTACCAGTAGTGTCGTGAGGACTTCCTCCGTCGGATGACGTTCGTGCAACGTCGCGATAAGAGCGGTCTTGACGGAGCGAACCATTCGCTCCCAGGCTCCGCCCATAAATGGAGCTCCAGGCGGGATGTAGCGCCAGGAGATAGTCCTTTTTGCTGCTTCTTCTGCGGTCGCTGCGTCGACCGCCTGTCGTAGTTCCTTATCGGCTGCCTTCAGGTTGGTGCCGTTGTCTGACCATATTTCTGTCGGGCAGCCTCGCCGTGCGATCATCCGCCTTATGGCCATTACCGCGGAGTCAGCGCTAAGTGAGCCGGCAACTTCTAGATGTATGGCTCGCGTAGTGAGACATGTAAAAATGGCCACATATCTCTTTTGTCGAGTTCGTCCGACGGTCACCGAAAGAGGTCCGAAATAGTCCACCCCGGTGTAGGTGAAGGGGCGCTTGTGGTGAGCTAAGCGACACGTTGGCAGGTCCCCGGTTCTCGGATGCGGCGGTACTTGCGTCTTCATTCTGCAGAATAGGCATTTTCGTAGTATTGTGCGTACGATAGGGCGCAGTCTCAGTACCCAATACTGCTGCCGGCACTCGTTAACTGTGGCTTCTACACCGGCGTGATGGAGTTGCCGATGTATAGCCTGCACCCAGAGCTTGACTGTGTGATGATCACCGTCAATTATCAACGGGTTCTTGAATTTTTCCTCCATGTCGCAGACTGCTCGAATACGACTTCTAAGTCGTAGTGTGCCGTTTATTGACTCGACGCTGAGCTGGCGAAGGCGG